CTACAACCGCCTACCCTTTGGCGTGTCGGCGGCCCCGGCAATATTTCAGCGCACGATGGAACAATTGTTAGCAGGTCTGTCCTTTGTCGTAGTGTATCTCGACGACATTGTTGTTTCTGGAAAGACTCGTGCGGAGCATGATGAGAATCTGAGGCTGGTCCTGGATCGTCTAGCGTCCGCGGGTCTCAGGTTGAATCGTGAGAAGTGTCTCGTGGCTCAGCAGTCTATTGAGTTCCTGGGCCATGTTATTGATTCAGTCGGCATTAGGCCGTCGGCTGAGAAAGTGGATGACCTTGTGAAGGCCCCACAGCCCAAGAATGTCCCTGAACTGAGAAGCTTTCTGGGACTCATAAACTATTACCACAAGTTCATCGAGAATCTAAGCTCAGTGTTAGCTCCATTGTATGAATTGTTATCATCAAAGTCGTGGTGTTGGTCTGATAGTCACCAGAAAGCGTTTGATACAGGCAAGTCTCTGCTGCTTTCTGAGCCGATACGTATTCATTATGATCCTAGTTTACCTATTGTCGTGTCCTGTGACGCTTCCCCGTATGGTGTTGGCGCAGTTCTGTCGCATGTTCTGCCAGATGGGTCTGATCGGCCAGTAGCCTTTGCATCTAGAACGCTGTCGTCTTGTGACAAGAATTACTCGCAGCTTGACCGTGAGGCCTTGGCAATGGTATTTGGCGTCTCCAAGTTCCACAAGTACATCTTCGGTCGCAACTTTACACTACAAACAGATCATAAGCCACTGCTGGGATTGTTTGATCCTGATAGACCCATTCCTGTTCAGTCTAGTGGTTGTATTCAGCGATGGGCACTCAAACTAGCCAATTATGAATTTGTTCTGGAGTACAAGCCTGGGAAACAGAACGGTTGCGCTGATGGGTTGAGTCGCCTCCCCAATCCGGCGCTGGTACCGGAACCGCCGCAGCCAGCCGAGGCTGTACTATCGCTATCCGTCTTGAACACTACACCGGTTACGTCTGCATCGGTTGCTCGCTGGACGAGCAAAGATCCGTCCCTGGCATTAGTATACAAGTTCGTGTCTGAGGGCTGGCCCCAAGACATTCCAGAGGGATTAGAGCCATATTCCCGTCGTCGTAGTGAGCTGTCTGTCTTGAATAACTGTATCCTAATTGGTTCCAGGGTAGTTATTCCTTCACCGGGTCGTGCACCATTGCTGGACGAGTTGCACGCCGGTCATCCCGGTATCGCTAGAATGAAAGCCCTGGCACGCAGCTATGTCTGGTGGCCGTCTCTCGATGCAGAAATCGAACAGACCGTCCGTGGTTGCACGCAGTGCCAGACCGTCACCAAGTCGCCGCATCGCCAGCAAGTCCACCCATGGGAATGGCCTGGTAAGCCTTGGTTACGTGTCCATGTCGACTTTGCTGGACCCATCGCTGGTAAGATGCTCTTCATTATTGTCGATAGTCATAGTAAATTTATTGAAGCACATGTTTGCTCTGGCTCATCTGCTGCTGTCGCAATTCGCAAGCTGGAGCAGACCTTTGCTCAGCTTGGCTTACCTTATAATATTGTTTCTGACAATGGCCCTGCTTTTGCAAGTAGTGAATTTCGTGAGTTTTGCTCATCTAATGGCATACGTCATACTCTCGTTTCACCATATCATCCGTCTAGTAATGGCTTAGCCGAGCGCGCAGTACAGACGGTGAAGTCTGGCTTGGCCAAGATGTCTGGCCCTGATTTGGAAACCCGCCTTGCTAGGTTCCTGTTCCAATACAGAATGACGCCGCAGTCAACAACGGGTCGTTCTCCGTTTGAGCTACTTTGGAAGGAACATCGTCCCCGCTCACGTCTGGATCTCGTGTTCCCGGACAGCGGCAAGAAAGTCTTGGACAAACAGTGCACTGCCCATGATCGTGGTGGTGCAAATGCATACCAGTTCTATTGTGGTGATGCCGTCTGGGCAATGAATTTCAACTCTTCACCGAAGTGGATAGCTGGCACCGTGGAAGAACAGCTTGGTCCTCTAACATTCACGGTTCGTCTTGTTGATAACAGAGTCTGTGTAGTAACTGGCCTTTCTCCACCTGCTCCCAGCCCCGTGCCATCTCCACACTTATTCCAAGGGACGACGATAACTACATTTAGAAGACTGTTTATTGACACGACGAAGAAACACAACTAGACAAGACGAACTCAAGACGAAGACTACTTTTTACACTACAGCAACACGCGCATGCGCAAACATGATTGTACACGCGACGTACACAAAATAACGTACTATACGGTAGAAAGTCCGTCTACTACACTGCTCCCCTCTCAAATAATTTTCCGTCCTCGGAAAACAAACAAGAACATGACACAAAAATTAATGTATACACTGCTGCCTCCTCAAAAGGCTGAATCGTTCCTGATTCAAAAAATAATAACAGAAGAAAAATAGATCACACTAGCCACGCAAGCATACCACACCATCACCCAAAAATGTATCGCAGCAAAACACAGCAGCCAGAGACCATCTGCCATTCACGCAGGACCTGATAACACAAAACCCTGTCTGCCCACCAACCAGACCTTCAGCTCACGCGCTGGAACACAATCGTGGGAAATGCATACAACATCACACTCGCGCTACCTCACCAATCACGTAAAAATTCTAAAATGGAAGAGGACAAAATAATAAGAAAGAGCAAATAAGAAAATGACCCTCGTCCTCGAGGAGAGCAACTGATAAATAAAAGAAAAAATTGAGGAGAACAGCAAATACAAAACTCACGCCGTCTACCATGTCGTCCGCCATCTCACGGAATGCTGCTCAGCGTCGACATCCTCACTTCTGGGCACAGTTTTACGTCGTGTCCGGGACCATCCATTCTTCTTTTTCTTTTCCTTTTCTTCTGGGCACAGTTTTACGTCGTGTCCGGGACCACCAGTGACGACGATTGACAAGAGACGGGCGAGACGAATGATGCAGGACGAAGACGACGGACGAACTTCTTGAAGACTGACGAAACTGTTACGATAGGACGACCGGAGATGACATCGGAAACTGGGAGCGAAGGCCACGCAGGACGAATCCAGAAGTTGATTTTGACAACAGTTTCCATCACCGCTGCCACCAATGTAGTAACTGGCCTTTCTCCACCTGCTCCCAGCCCCGTGCCATCTCCACACTTATTCCAAGGGACGACGATAACTACATTTAGAAGACTGTTTATTGACACGACGAAGAAATACAACTAGACAAGACGAACTCAAGACGAAGACTACTTTTTACACTACAGCAACACGCGCATGCGCAAACATGATTGTACACGCGACGTACACAAAATAACGTACTATACGGTAGAAAGTCCGTCTACTACATCTGGAAGCGTCACTCTGACCACCTGAAGAAACGCCTTCCTGCTGAGTCGGTGCAAGATGCTTCAACTGCTACGTCAGCACCACAGCTTCCATATTCCAGAGCTTTACCTTCTACCACAGCTCTACCGTCTTCAACTGCTCTACCTAGTGTTCCGCCGAATGAGTCTATGTCACTGCCTGGCTCAATTGTACATGATGAGATCCGTGAGAATGCTGATTTATCTGTTCCTGAATCTACTCCTAACCAGTCTAGTGGTTCTAGTCCTGTCGTGTCTATGCGCAGTTCTTCTCGTTCTGTAAAGGCTCCTGTCCGCCTTGATCTGTAGTTCGTCTTATCAGATTATTTGCTGCCACGACACAGTCTATGTATTTCTGTTATTCTGGTCGTTTCCATCTGATGGTGGAGGGATGTGATATCTGAGCAAGCGTTGTATAAACGCGCGTCATAAGTTGTTATCTTATTACTTACGTTGCCTGCATGCATATGCGCATGCCTGTTGTTTTGTTGTCTTGTCTTGCTCTGAACGAGTGATAAACAAGTCTTGAGTTTTTCCCTATCTGACAAGTTTGTCTTGGTCTTGTGTAGTGCCTGGGTTGCATGTAACAACGTGGAAACGAGTTACCGTATGTCAGGGCCTTTAAAACCATGGCCTTTTATTTGAAACACCGCTGCTTCCCCAGGTATTTTGATGCAAAATGACTCACACACTACACCATGCCATCAAGGTCAATGTCTACACAGAAATTTCACTCTAAATCCACTTGTTCACCCTTCCTGCTGGGTTGTAACGCAGCTCTGACACCACAAACGCACGGCCCCTTTTGCACGTGCGCGCGCGCACACACACACACACACACACACACACACACAAACACACCATGTACCATGTACCATGTATACGCCCGTCGCAAGAGAAGCACGCAAATCTGCAAATGCACTGGATATGCACCCACAGATTTTCTCTTATAGCAACGAGTGCGAAAACACACACACACGCGCGCGCGCGCGCACACACACACACACACACACACACACACACACACACACACAAGATGACTCAATTGTCTATTGAACCACCCAACGACCAACACTCCCTGAAATCCCCAAACCTTTGGGCGGACTTGAAATTGATCCCACTTATGGGCTCACCACACCTCAGTAAGTGGGTGAGGACAAGGTGCAGGAAAAGATTGACAGCATCAGGGTATTCGTCCCGGGATCCAACTGCAGTTACCCCTGCCCACAGTGAAGGTAATACTTGCTACTAGTGTGAGTGGCTAAATCAGAGTAGATCTGATATAGGCGTCACTAGCACTATTGATTACACAAGGGTTAATCCAGCCAGAAGCAGTCCGTGGTTAACTATAAATGATTCAAATTGAAAGTATGAACCCTGAAACCAACAAAGGTGACAGATACAACAGTACACCTTCAAGCAACCGAGCCTGTTGGCAACAAACCGAACACAATCAGGCATAAGTGTACCAACCAACCGAACTAGCTGGCACACACACACACACACACACACACACACACACACACACACTCACACACACACACACACACACACACACACACACACACACACACACACACACACACACACAGACACAAAACGTTACGAAAGCAACAGAAAACTCGTTTGTGATAATTTTGTACATACCTTTTTCTCGGCAATAGCCTTATACACTTTCACCATGAAGATGTCTGCCTGCCCGGCATCTCGAAGATGCTTGAAGGCCAGCACTGACAGTGTAGGAATTCTTAAATTGCAGGTGAAAACTATTGCGCCAATTACACTCGCCAGTAGATCATAGATATGCGGAATATCGGACTCTAAGTCTGGTGTCTCCTCCAGAACCAGATCCAGTCTGTGGTAAGAGAACACAGTGCAGAAACACACAGCGACTCAACCATTCAGGCAACAAAACGCAGCTGACAGTTTAGCACTATGATGAAAACAATCAAAAGATTAACAGCCCTGAGAAAATTCCAGGGAACCCAGAGTGTGCAGGTTTTGACTTTTTCGGCATGGGTGTTTATCACGGCGAAATTCCGGACTACACCATGTAGTTAGTGCAGACATGCGACGGGAAGCATTGTAGTATTTACAGTACTCTTGAGCTGTACCTGTGAAGTACGAGACCTGCCTGAATCCTGATTGTACACACTCAGACTGCATCACTGTAATGATGTGATACAGGAATTTCGCCATGACAGCAGCCCATTTGAGTTGAACATTCTTGGTTTCATGTACAGTAAAACTGTCAAGGCGACCACTCGGATAAGGCGACCACCTGTCCCAAAGGCCACTGTAACCAGGACCAAGGGATACAATTTCAAGTTAAATGACCCTGGATAAGGAGACCACCTGGTAACAGAGACCACATTTTGAATGCCCCATGAACGGTGGGTCGTCTTAGACAGGTTTCAGTGCACTATACTTCATACTGCACAGTGCCACATGTGCAAACGTATCAGAATTCTTTGCAAGAAATAGGATAGTAGTCCACGTCGAAGGCACACTGCGCCTCGAAACGAACAAGAAATAAAAGTCCATGCTGACGCCAGATCAGACTAAAAAAGAAACCTCAGTATCCACGCAATTAAACAGGATTGAAAGCCCAAGACCCTTGCCATGCTTAGTTTCCTAGGTCATCATGTGTGTTATTCGAACTGATAGAAACGTCTTTGCAATACAATTGTCGTGCACATGTTTTCGTACTACAAAGACGGTACCCGGTTTTACCAGAACAGAATTGAGCAATCGAAAGGTTCAGCTCATAAATGACTGGATGCCTGCATGCTCAGCGGCTCGGCTCGGCGATGCCGAAGCAGAAGCCATAAACACCTCTACCAAACATGAGGCTCTTGGGCCGGTCATGGAGCCATTCGTGGCAACTGGCATACTAGATGCTTGTGGGCCGGTCACGGAACTATTCGTGTCAACTGGCATACTAGACGCATTTTGGACCGGTCACAACGCCATTCGTGTCAACTGGCATACTAGAGGCTTTTTGAACCGGTCACAACGACATTCGTGTCAACTGGCAAACTAGATGCCAGATCAAACGTACCTGATAAATCATGATCAGGACGGACACTGACAGAAAGTACTGGAAGCTCACGCCTGACCGAAACGGGACACGAAACTCTCGCTGGAAGCAAACATCTGGCCTACTGATGGCACCAGCTTTGTCGTGAATGATGTCGTTACCATGACGTCTTGGAAGCTCTCAGTGCATCTTCACGAAAAAAATTGGGCGTCCTGGGATAATGGAGATGGAAATGGCGAGCGATTTTCGTGTGACGGCGCAAGTCCAGCGCTGAAACGATGTCTGCAGCTTGTTACGCTGGTGCTGTGCTTTATTTGCTATTGGATTTGGGCCCAACAGGTTGCTCGTCGCCAGAGCTTTCCAGAAAGCCCACGTTTGTGGAAATCGGTCAAAGGAAAAAGGAAATATTCTCCAAACTTTGGCGAACCAAGGATCGAGTCGAAACAGCAACAGCCGTTCTCACTCGATTCGAGATGTCTTCTGACTCGGACGATGAGCCACAGCTGTCTGCGCACGCGCTAGCAGCTCTCAAGGAGTTTTATACTGAAAATCAGGCGTCAGCTGAGAGTAATGCAGAGCAGATGCCTTCTGAGAATTGGCAACTTAGCCAGTTCTGGTACGACGAAGAAACTGCAACCGCATTAGCCGAGGAAGCGATATGCGAAGCAGGACTCAGGACGAATTGCTTGCATATCTTGTCCAACTACATACTACAAGCTGCAATCCATCAAACCAGAAGGCTGCCGGGCAGTCCTGCTGGAATTCGATGAGCGGTTCCAGCAGAATGGCGAAGACTTTGTTTTCTACGACTACAACAAAACACTGGAGTTGCCCGCGGATGCCGCTGAGCAGGGATCCTTTGATATTGTGCTGGCTGATCCTCCCTTCCTGTCAGACGAATGCTTAGAGAAGACGAGTCAAACTGTAAAGTACTTGAGCCGTGGAAAAGTGCTCTTGTGCACGGGAAAGATCATGGGAGAGGCAGCAGCACGGTTATTACAGGTGCGTGAATGTCAATTCCAACCGCATCAATCGAAGGGCCTGGCCAACGAGTTCCGCTGCTTTGTGAACTACGACTCTCAACTCAGTTGAGGAGAGCGCTGGCACCCCAACATCATCTCCTTCAATCTATGGCCTGGTATCCAATGCCGATCGTTCCTCTCTGGAAGGACACGAGACTCATACTTTCCTGGACTGCACCTAGACCAGCTGAAGACGGCGCGTAGTACTGCGGTCATCCCCGGAATTGTGCAGTCGTGCTCTGTGGGAGTGCGCACATGCACGTAAGTGCAACTAGAAGGCTGTTGCCCGCAGATCAGCACATCACAGCCGTGTTGCGCATTGTCCACATCGCAATACACTTGCTGTCTTGGGGAGCAGCACATGTAGCAGACCGGCTGTATGGACGCTTGGTTGAGATCGTTTACTGGATCAGCTCCGGAGCATTCCGCAAGTGCTTATTACTTGTTACTTCAAGAAGTACCAGCCAATACAAACCTAGAGTAAATGCAGTAGTACTGATCAAAGAGGAGAAAGTCGGAAGAGGCTCATGGAAACTAGCACGAGTAACTGAATTGACGGAGAGCAGTGACGGTGAGATTAGAACAGCAAGGCTGAGGTTTAGTAATGGTGATAACGTCACAAGACCGTTGTGTAAGCTGTATCCAATTGAGTGTCAGTGTGAGTGTGAGTCTGAGTCAAGTATGCCTGACGAGTGTTGTAAAATGATGTGTTGTTTTCCTGTTTGATGGCGTTCCCCAAACTGTCTCGTCTAGTCGCGTGCATGTGTGATATGAGCATGCGCGATTTTGCAGTCGAGAGTCATTTTGTCAGTCTTCTTGTTCGTCCCTTTGAGTGTTGTCTCCATTTCCGTCTTGTCAATATAAATAATGTAACAAACCAGTCTTGTCCTTTGTGTCCTGCGTCCCGGGGAACGGAATGGCTGAGGTTCCGTTACACGAGCCAGTCGTTGCACCAGTAGCAGTCAGGCTACCATCTCGCAGAGCGGCAGCTACCAGGGGTAGAGAAGCTCTCAGGAACCTTATCCAGGATGGACAGTTGTAAATATTGCGAACTAGGTTCGTATTCCATGTTTAAATTTCATTGTTGTTAGATAAGTGCCTTTGTACATTGAGAGCATTCAGCCAGGGTAGTTTATAAACTTTGCCGCACCGTTAAGTAACCTAAGTTGGACAGATAGATAATTCACAAATTACGGTAGAACCTTTTCAAACCGAAACATTCGGTCGGTTACTTGCAATTGTACAGTTCAACAGTATATATTTTAATTTATTTATTGCAACACCTATTAAAGGAATCTACTAGATTAGTTTTATTAATCTCTGAACTCACTCCAGAGCAATCTAGTTAATTGGAACAGTAAGCTCAGTAGCAGCAAGTCAATAGACTATCGCAAACGTTCTATTTAGCAGAATTCAAGTATTGCATGCACTTCACACACATAATAATTATGTTACTGGAGTAACGCCTTTCGCATAACTACGGGAATGAATAGAATGAGGTGCGCACTCAGTAGAGATGATCTGATGAGTTGGCCTCGAGTACGTTTAAGGAATATCCATGTACATGACAAGTGGTTTTGCTCATGGTGTTTGTACTGAGTGCGCAACTAACTCTATTCATTACGTCTACTAGTATGTCCTTCTTATCGTCACGGAAACTTAATAAATTTATCATTAAATTCACTTCATCAATCAACGTCATCATTTTAAACTCACCCAGCTACTATGTACTCCAGACTGGCCGTGCCAATCCGGGCCAGCTCAGCGAGTAGATCAATTCCTTTGCAATGCTCGTCCTGCTTCAACTCCGATATTATCATCCTAGCGACAATTGTTGGAAGGTATCTGGAGGAGGGAGGTTCCGGGACACAATGCGGAATCTCCTGAAAAGAGAGTGCAGCCAAAAAAACAACAACACAAGGATTATTGCCGTGATCAGCAGGACAAGCCGAGTCGACATGTACATACTGTATTCGTGCGGTCTCAAATGGCAGTGAAGAGAATAATGAGGATTCGAACAAGTTTCGTACAACATTCATCAGTAATCTTTGTTGTGCTAATGGACAAAGAAAGCAACTCACATGAACTCTTAAAAGTTATTGAAAGCCTAAGTAAGATACTTAATATTATATAAGTTTCAACCACTTCTGAAGCTCAGCGACCTTTGGAGAATATCCATGAAGTCAGACAGGATAGAGCACTTCTCCAACTAGACTCGGATGGAGAGGCCAGGATTAATTTATAGGAAGAAAAGATGACCAAAGAGCTACACGTTACGCTGGTCAGTGTCATGCAATGTTATCGCATGAGCTGATTGTAAAGTAACTGCAGTGGTCTTACTGCATATTATAGCTTAACATGTAGCTCATTGGTCCTCTTTTCTTCTTTTTAACTTCTCCAACTTCTCAAATTGTTTTTTAACACACTCTGAGCATCAGTCACTGTTGTGCCAAATGTCGCATGCCAGTAATTAATGTTTCAGCCCTAGAACACACTTGGGCACAATAGCAGAACCTCACTGATGATAACTCCTATCAAGTGTCGAATGACTGTTCAAAATCCGTCCCTGCACTACTTGAGCACTTTCTATTCAAAAGCAAGAGAGTGTACCAACCAAACCTGTACTAGTCATGTATAACACACACACACTAGCGTGCCGGTGAGCATGGCTTCTTTATGTACGCTACTAGTGACTCAACTTGCTCAACAAAGGCTATCATTCTATCTTTCCCCGTCTCATTTCCCATTTTCGCTTGTGCAGTTGGTCGAGTAGCTTGCTAGCTGTAGTACGCCGCACCCCAGGTACAGTGTTACAACTGACATCCTAACTAAAGTCATCAAGCAGGCTCCTTGCAGAACAACTGGTTGAAAGCACTAGCCCACCACATCTGGAAAGTATCGTAGTTGTGCCACAGCTGGAAAGTGTCATACATTGGGCCAAAAACTTCTCTCCCCCCCCCCCCCCCACAGCAAAAAAACACTGGAAAATACGGAAAACCAGTCCCAGTATGCGAACCGTGAGTCAGGCCAGCATTGAGCTAAATGCGCCTACATTTTTTCACAAGTGCATCCTTACTGTTCGCTTGTGTATTGACAAGTCTGAATTCTCGCCGGACAATTGCTGTCCCCTTAGCTTCGGCATTGACCATACTAACGCACATTGGTGATTGTGATACTAGCTTTTGGCATTGGACCATAATATTGCATATCGTTCACGGCAATTGTTGCCTATGCCCTGATAACACACCGCGTATTTGCTGGAGTATAATGCGCACCTGAGCGTTATGCACATCCCCCTTTTTTTAGCAACGTTTCAGCAATTCAAGGTACATCCGGAGTATAATGCGCAGCCCAGATTTCAGAGCATAATCGATCATAAAGACAGTACTATAGTGCAATCATTGTTAGGCCATCATTTTTTATAGCTATGTTTCGCGTCGTCCGCACGCATACGTTTTGATTTTTTTCGGAAAAATATAAAAAAATCTTAAAAGCACAGTGAGCGATCGTGCGAGTCATCGATGCATCAGTGTGGACTGGTTGCATACAGCGAAACTGGGATTCAGAAATGGCCTCGAGGTCAGCATTGGTGAATCGTTTGTTCGGCATCTGGAAGCAATATTCTATGAGCTAACACCAGACAGCCTCAAGCTGAGAGGATGCGTCATTCCGGAGGTCTTCGCACCGCTGCTGAAGTCTGAGTACAATAATCCAGCGAAGCATAGGCACCAACGGTTGCCTCCTCTGTCCAAAGTGAATATTTACTCATGCTGATAACCCAGATGTTGTGCTTCGATGTACGATTTTTCTTTCGAATATACACCATGCACGAGCTATTGTGCTATGTACAGGGAATACACCTCTGATGATGAGCCTTTTTTTATTATTTTGCCACTTTTATTTTTTTCCACCTCTCGCATATGATTCTGGAAGTTGAACTGACGCGAAACATAGATATAAAAAATGATGGCCTTAGAAGTTATCAAAACAAAATTAATATTGACGTGTACATGTACATTCGTATAATGCACGTTGTGTGAGTGCGGCATGCAGATGCTTGTGGTAATGTGTACATGTACATGTGTATAATGCACGTGCTACGAATGCGACCTCATACTCCTCATGCATTAGTACTAGTGTAGCTGGCAGTAGACACTTGAAATGCATACGTTTGACCTGAGAAGTGTGAGAGGTGACAGACTTCGCAACAATTTGATGCATTGCACTACTTATCGAAGTACCTGCATTTTCGTATTCGGAGTATAGTGCGCACCTGCGATTTAGGACTTGAAATAGCACATTTAAAGTGCGCACTATACTCCGATTTATACGGTAGCTCCCAAACAGGTCTGCTTGTTGGGTGGTTAGTAACTGAAGTTATACTTTATCTTCCATTAATTTTAGTTATTTGAATTCGATTGACACTTGCTGAAGTCATGATAACATTTTAATTAAAGGGGAAGTTAAGCCTAAAATCATATGTTCACCAGTTGTAGTCTTCGGGGGTGCCGAGTCGAATGGTCTTGGTCCGAGAAAGCTGAGGCGCTCCGTTCCCCCTTTAATCCCAATTGAACTCGCGCACTTCCACCGGAACTAGGTGACTGTGCCCTACTAGATGGGGATGTGTGTCATTGAAAGCGCCATTTCATTCTTATAAAAGCACGGATGATCGCGATTGGCTGATATGTTGGCGTCTTTCGGACGCTGAGTCCACTCGTTTTGGTCCGAGAAAGCCGCGATGCAGCGTTCGGCCCGTATTCCCCATCGAACATAGTTGCTTAATTAAGCGGTCATGTGTTCCTGCATGCACAAGTCACCTGGTCACCGTGCCTGCAAGCTACAACTTTCACACAATCAACTCGAGTGACAGAAATGCGCCCAAACAGGCTGTAAAAGCTGTACCCTCCAGGCACGGTGACCAGGTGACCAGATTCACTCTCGCTCAGATGAGTACTCGGGCGCGAGCTTACGCATGCCGCGTTTTTCACGACCAGGAAAATCACCTGATCACACTTCACGAGTCCTTGTCAGAGTTGCTGTTGCCGTGTCGGCAGCAAGAAGACTTCCTCTCTGGAGAATTTTGTTTCTTCATTCGTGGATGATATATTTTGAACTAGCAGGACTCAACGGAGCTCTTCCTCTTAACACACTGAACTGCGAAACCTCCCGGGAGATCCAGCCTGGACTGGTGATGCTGCTGCTGCTCTCAGAACGCTCGTCAAACACGGCCCCGAGACATGCACTCGCATTCTTGAAATGCGCGCATGGTGGATGGTCGTGTTTTCCAATTTCAACAAATTTCAGTCGATCGATAAGGCAAAAATGTGTATGGTAAGTATGGTTGTTTCGTACACTGTCAGAAAGCCTTAGATCTCAGCTATGCGCAGAGCACCATTCTAGCTGTCTCCTAGCAACAAGACTCTAAAAAACGAGGGCCAAACGTACCGATACTATAGTATCGGTTTGCTTATGGTAGACCGGTAAAGGATTAACTTCCCCTTTAATAGAGCAACGTATTGATCCACAACAGCAGAGTGTACATGTTTAGAAACGACCATATCAACGAAAAGTGTACTTACGCCATCGTAGAAACTACTCAAGAATTCTTCAGTGCAAGCGTTGGCCTTCTCCTCGACCTCACATTCTGGCAGTGCCACTGCGGGTGCAGTATCCCCATTTGTTGCCGCGGCAGCAGATGGTGGAACTGCTGAGGCACCTGCAGACATACTGACGGAGCGATTGAGGGGCGGAGGGCCAGAAAACGATCCACTGACACTTGCAAGCGCTTCGGTACGGTCGCACCTAGCATCCAACGCACTTGGATATCCACGCAGCGGTCGGTCCCTGGAGCTATTGCAACTTGTGCTGGGGCGTGTTGCGGCTGAGGCGGGCACAATGTTGTTGATCCTGTCCTGCCTGACGCTGGAAAAGAGCTACCGTCTACACGCTGCGTGGAGACGACACTGGATCCGCTGTTGCCAAACTTGAACAACTAGGGCTGAAAGACAACACCAATCAACAATATCAGGTGACAAAAAAAATCAGCTCTCATTCTTTGCGCCAAATAAGGCTAAGTTTCTACTTGCACTGTGCGTATTTATACTGAGATATTGGATTGATTTAGATTTGCCAGTAATCCTTCTGATGAGATGGTCTCGCAAACGTTAAAAAGAAATACTTATCCATGAACTCGGATAATCGCATTGTTATCGCACGTCTCGACTGCTTATTATCTTGTTACAGTCGTGGATAGTTCTTTCATAACTCGTTCCTATGTGATCTCTTCTTCTAATTATACATGACAACAAGATTTGCTTATGGTGTTTGTACTGACTGCGCAGCTTGCTCTATTTATTGCGCTAATAACATTCTTATCTCCACAGAAGCATTTCAATAATAATAATAATAACAAGAGAGCTTGAAAGCTGAGGGGCCTACGCTATGCTTTTTTTGCCTAGCTAGCTCATCATACATGTTATTCAAACTGATGGAAATGGTTTTTTTTCCATTGATTGGCTACATCAAACTTTCTCTTTGCATTCGAGGGATATACGACACCGTCTACCACCTTGATGACCTTGGCAAAAAATGAATAGGGATGTTACAATTTTTTTCATTTCTCCTATTTTTTCAAGACAACCTGGGATTCGAACCCACACTGTCGCCCTACATGCATTCCCCAGATACACTTCGCATACATATTCATTCTTCCAAGTTGCTTCACGTTATCATATATCGGAACTTGCATTTGAAAGCCCTATTCGAATATTGTGACCAGCTGTCTTTGATGGTACGGTACGGGACAGGTGCGGGATAGCGCCAGGCATGCCGATGGCACAAACAAACAATCACGGAATTAAAGCTGTGTGGACCCTGGCTAGCGCCAGACGTTACTGAAGTAACGTCTTTTGCATAGCTACGGGAATAATAGCCAATGCTGTAGACAGCAAGTTGTGTGGGCCATAAAAGCTTCATCATTACATCTACAAGCTTAAAGTAAGCCGAAATGCCAGCCATGGCAAAAAACTGCTTTGAATGGGGGGGGGGGGGGGGTGAACTTCTTTTTGTATGCACAATTGCTTATTTGTCACTGCCAACCTGTGAAATCCACACATTTTTATCTATGGATTCTTTCTGTAACCTGAACATGTGCAATACGTGCCAAATTAACTTCTTCAAAAAATGATATGATACATGGTAGATGAGTTATCCTGAGATACGGGCAGTGCCCGGTCCCAAGGTGCCCGGACAAGAGACGTCTGAGTGTACATAATAACAACACCCACACATCTTCACGACACTCTCCGAACGATCTCTGGGCTACACCAATCACTAAAAGAAAAAAGATAATCATTCGAATTTTCTGGCAAAGCTCATCTTCAGGAATTCATTTCTTTCTTTTAGTGATTGGTGTATCCCAGAGACCGTTTGGAGAGTGTCGTGACAATGTAAGGGTATAGTGGGTGGCTACATTGGAGTCTTCGCATTTTTGAGAAATAATAACAAAAAATAATGGAATAGTGGATGCTATCCTATGACGGCTATGATGCTCAGTATGACAGCTACACCATAGCTCAGTGGTTAGAGCATCACTGGCCTCAAGCGAGGGTCCCTGCTTCGAGTCCTAGTGGTGACAGTCAATTTTTTTTCTTCAGAATTTTCCCGTTTGCATCTTTCCCCCAAACATTATATGCATATGTTATGGCTTTGGGCTTGCCGCGCGCTAGTTTGCATGTGAAGTGTGTGGGTTACAGTGAGGGCTGCGTCCTACCTGCCTGTATGGATTCACAGGAAGCGCGAGTTTCGAAGTCCGAAGAAAATGTTGAACGGTCTCTGCTGTAAAATCTCGTGCGATTTGTACGACACGACAGGCAGCAGTTGTAGCGATGTTCAACATCGAACGGTACGAGTCATAAGGCACTGTCTGATGATTGCGAAAGCATGAAACTTTAAGTAGCAGCAAACAAGCCTTGATTACCCATGTTGTTCTGTCTTTCTACGATTACCTGATTACTATACAGGATTTGGGGGCTCCGCCAGCCTGACTTCTCTATGTGCTTTAGGTCTGAGTTACGCCTGGCCCTGAGTGAAACTACTGTCGTGGACATGGAAATCCGGTCGCACGTCTAGCGGGCCCAGTGTGCTGGCCATGCATGCCGTGGGTAAGCAGTACACACATGCTGCTGCGCGTTGGTCGCATCGGATCAAGCGCTGTTCTGTACGCGCTGAGGGCGCCGGGCCCCCGCCAAACGACTGGATTTTCCATCCACGACAGTTACAAGACTACAGTACGTTTTTTTATAATAGACTCTGAAATCCTTGAGAACGTACTCAAGGCCACTTTTGAGAAAATGTCATGCGAGTTGCGTCACGAAAATCTGCGCGCGAAATTCGAAAACCAGGTGTGACTCGTGGCATTTCGCCATTTTGTTCAGAGTGTCCTTCGAGCTAGCTCCTCGTGGCTGGAGGAATCATTATGGAGGATTAGCAAGACGAAATTCGCGTTCGCGTTCGCAAACATTTTTCAGTTCGCGAACTGCATTGCGAACTTTCGCATTTTTCGTTCGGAAAAGTAGTCGGAACACGAATCGCGGATTCGTGTCAGGGCAGTCATAAATTTACCATGCTGTACTGTCTGTAGACAATGTACGTCGTGTCAACGTCATGCATGTGCGAATTCTGTTTGCTAATCCTTCTCATAACGCGAATTCCGTCACTGAGTTCGACTTTCCTTGGAGAGCGAACGCGAACGCGAATTTCGTCTTGCTAATCCTCCGTATTTTGTTGCTGACTGCTCTGTGGCCCTATTTAGCTTTTTCTCGAGTGTCTTTTCGTTCGTGGCAACTTGTTCTCTCGACATGCCAAAGCGCGAACGGGCCATGGTAGAATCTACATGGTGGTGTCTGTTTTACAATTTTTGCGAAGACGAGGAGTACAATGGCTGGGCATCGAATTGGTCCCAAGTATTCCATTCGTCATGCTGCTGTTGCGTGTGGCGTCAGCATTTCCACCATGAACAGATGTACCAGGGATGCTGACGGCGAAAATCAGCGTGCTGCGCTGGCCTTGTCTGTCTCTAGTGATGAAGGTAACGAGAGTGACAATCCCCAATGTGAGACTCGTGCCATAAAATCACTCAACCCTGACGGATTTGCTTTGGACTGTATAAGAAGTAATTTACGGATTCTATGCTGCGAAGGAGCACCCAACACTGGACAAAGTTCCTGCTTGCTGCATAGAAAGCATCGATGATTTTCCAGATATGAGCAAAACTAGCTCTTGGAAAATGTTGGGTTCCATGGGATTCCAGTGTGGCAAGACCAGAGGTATCACACACATGATGATGGAACGGCACGGGATTGTGTCATGGCGGCATCCCTACCTGTGAGACATACCTGGATGACACGTGGGTCAATGCGCGTCACACAGTTTCTAGGAGGTGGTCCGACAATGGTGACAGGAGTGTATAGGCAAGCAACCAAATGAAGCTCCATCAGGTAAAGGCAAGCGCTTTATTGTTCTGCATACTGATGGACGGGACGGATTCGTGAAAAAACTGCGCCGATGTGTTCGTGACTGGAGACCGACGAGGCCGACGCCAACGATGATATACGAGCACATCTGTTCACTGTGTAATACTGTCGTCACAAGTGCAACACAAAACACGGAATTATTGGGGCCGTTTCGACGCTCGCTCGTCTTCTACTATTCGCAGATGTTGAACCAGACACAACTGTGACCTATTTGCATTGTGTGTTTGTGTGTGTGTGTGTGTGTGTGTGTGTGTGTGTGTGTGTGTGTGTGTGTGTGTTTGTGTGTTTGTAAAACCGCTCATGTATTGCTTCCTTTTAGTCTCTTTATGGGTGCTGTGTGAACAGCCCTTGTGATTTGTTGTGGTGTTTGAATTATTGCAATACAGCATTTGAATTATTCAGTACAGTTTGCCACAGTAAGTCGTGAAAAGCCACGACTCACTGGTTTCCTACAAAGGTTAGGAGAACTGCAGACAGCAGTGCACAACTGCACAGTCATGTACATGTACATGCATGCGTTGTACCGAAAAAGAAGAGAAAAAAAGAATTAAGATGAACTGTACTGGATTCGAACTCTGGCGGACACCATGCACGTGATGAGCTTTCCTGGCTAAAACTTTCGTTTTAAAATCAAAATCCACTGAAAATCATTTAAAACCGGATTTTCAGCCAAAACCCGTCCGAACATCTAACTTCGACAATTATTATTATGCCGATTCCCAAACTTAAGTTTCTTCGATCCAAGACCCACACAAACGCAGCTAGCTGTGAAGAAAAAATTCAAATTTGGAATGAGAACAAACTAAAAAATCAAAATCGACAAATGTCTTTAAAAAAAACCGCACTGTAGAGGCGCACAGTCATAATTATGACTGACTATACGTTGTGCAAACAGGCTTGAGATAACTGGGACGCTCAGCCAGTCAAGACAATAATAGTCACTAACCGTTCAAGTCTTCCTCTCGCATTCATGGTATTCGCTCACCTGAACTCGACCGGCGGTCACTACACACACTACACACACTAGAAAGGCCATACTATTGCCGTTATGGGCCATAGTCCATAGATACCTACACTGCTACAGTACGTAGGAGGCCAACGACAGCACACAATCCAGCGCACTTTTGACAACAGCATGCACCCGCACTTGTTGCAACGTAACGTTGGGCGCGCGGATCCGACAGTTCACTGAAAAAACAATACTACGAGCTACGATGTTGTTGCGACATCGGCGGTAAAGTGTCTGCTCCAAACGTCGGAGCTCGCGCTTCCTACCGACTGACTTGACACTTGACTGACTCACGACTGCGTCTGGAGAACACGAGAAGCCCTTCGAACCCTTGGCCTTCCACTCCGCAAGCCTTCAAAAAAGCACCACTCCCCGCTCAATACACAGTGTTTTGGGGGAATTCATCCCTCATCAGTTGAGCTTGAGCACCAGTAGTAGGCTGAGGAAGATTGACTGATTGTGTCTGATGAGCACCGCCAAGAGTAGATAAACAAAAAACTATAAATAGAGTAACTATAATCTATGCTTGCACCACTGCCTAATATAAGTAGTATTGGTCTCCAGGCCAAACCATCACCCAGAGATACAAACTGATAGTGATACTGACTGTGACAGAGACGCGCGGTACCCAGCGCGACAAACATCTCAGCACCGGCCAGCAGCGTGAGTCAGTGTCGCACACGGACGCTGAGTGAGTCAAGTGTTGAGTCAGTCGCAGGAAGGGCGAGCTCCGACGTTTGGAGGAGACACTTACTTCATCAATTATATTCTCTTACTCGTAGATCTACGTCTTCACAACACTCTCCCCGAACGCCTTGGTCTCGAGTCTAGATATCTCTGCACCAATCACTAAAAGGAAAACTATACTAGTGAGTAGTGTTGTGGTACTATAGTAGTACTGTTCTGGTACTATAGTAGTACTGTTCTGGTACTATAGTAGTACTGTTCTGGTACTATAGTAGTACTTCGAAGTACAGTACTGCTCAATGAAATCCAGTCACGTGACTCAAGTACACGCCGGGCGTTGCGCAGCTCTAGACCTGCGAACACTGGGCTGCAAAATGGTGCAAGGTGCAAACTTGAGTGACGCGGCTGGATTTCATTGAGCGGGACTGTAGTAGTAGTAGTAGTAGTAGTACAAAGTTTGACTTTGGATTTTTCTTCAATCCTCTTTCTGATCACATTATCATGGATTTTCAATAAGTTTCTTTGAATAGTATACCTGTGTAGGCTGTAGTACTAGTGGTAGTAAAAGAAATAGGCCGCACCGAAAAAGACTTGGGTAACCCGACCAACAATGCGCCGACCGAAATGTTTTACATACACCGCATCATACCCAAGAAAACCTTAGCTGATTTATGTTTGTACATGTACTGACTGTGGAAATGTTAGTTTACTGTTTAGGGAGCCCTTTTTTGGGGGGGGGGGGGGGAGTGAACAACCGTACTAGTCACTGCTTACCTCTGAGTGATGTTGAAATCAGCTTCGGTTTACTAGTACTAGTAGTAGTTTCACAGGCAGGTTCCTCCTATCTGTCGCTTACTGTGTACCACTGTTACAGTAGGTCGGTGCTTCGGGCGTTAGGCAGGCTGCGTGGTGTTTGCCTTTCTTAGTCTAACCCCCTATAACGCAATTCCCAGCCAGTGGAGAACAGACTTTAGCAATCAAACGGAACAATTATCGCTCCAACTATACACTTGTGAAGAAGAGGTTGGTACGACTTCGGCGTAAGGGAGCAACACAAACTATACTCTTGAACAAGAAAGGCAAAAACGCAATCTGCAGCGAGAGCACGAGCTGGTGCTGGTTTTGTAAGCTAGGTTTGACCTACATCAGTACAGTCATGAACGTGACAACATTGTGTGTGGGTGTTTATCAAAAAGTCTAGAAGCGTCTAGAAGCGTTTAGAACTGCTGCCAATTTTACAGTATTACGTGATAGAGAGAAGGTTTGAGAGCCTGGAAGCGTGCGTAGGTGATCATGGTGATACGCACTGCACTTGAACCCAACACATGACTCGCAAGACCGGGGATTTGTCAACAGTGGAAGGTGGTAATTGGTACTAGATAATGCAATACTCGTACAGTACTAGCACCAGATATTTATTTTTATTGGGTTAAAATCCAGCACTAGATAAACCTTGTTGGTTTGACAGCATGAAACAAGGTACCGGGTTCAACACCCATGGTTCAGATGGTCCCAACGGACGGGGCTCTACCAACTGCGGATGGGTTGTACTTCAGTAAGGTCACTGTTTCCGAACACGGTGTCCTCCACCTTTACTTGTACCATGCTGTCAAACCAACAACAAGGTTTCCGAACACAGTCAGTCACATGGTCACAGTGGTCCTCCGCCACATGCAGTCAATCATCATACCTGTATGACGTGTAGAACTAACAATCACGTGATGTACTACTGAACCCTACGTGTACGTGATACTGAGGACAACATCCTTCTGCCAGTGCAGTGCAGCGGGCTCAACACAATGATGTGGAGCACTATTTGTATTGCACGCAAAGGGCACAATGGAGGATGTCTACAGATTTGTCGCAACTCACTCCGGAGCTGCCACAAATCTGTAAACCCCCGGTGTGCCCTTTTTGTGTACGTGGTACTTCTGTACCTCCCAGACCCTGATTGAGGTCACGCGGACAGTCATGCCCTGACGGTTGAGTAATAAAATGACTATGTTCCTACTCTGCAATTCCTTATCAGTTCACTTCTTTCTACTTACTGGTATTATTCCATTCACCAAGGCTGGCTCTGTCCTCCTCCAAAGGTCTCTGTTTGTTTCTTTTATCATTATACATTTAGATAGTGTTGCTATCCCTTCCCACGTTCTGTTTAGACGGACCCTACAGATGTCTTGCCTTTATCCTGACGCATGGCGTCATGCAGAATCTCCTTCATTTTTGCCCTATAAAAGCGCCAGTGCTTTACTGATTTCTTCATAACAGAACCGAGCAGACAGAGCAGTTCTGACCTCCAGGTGTGTGCCCGAGTAAGATCGTCTCTTACCTTCACTTTATTGCCTTACCTCCAGAAGAGTCACCAAAACGCGTGTTCTCGGGCGGGCGAGACTTGTCACCTACAACAAAGGGTATTTTGTCCCTGCAACAGTCAACACTGGCTTTGTTATGCCATTATAATACAATGTAGGTAGCTGATTAATTAAGGAGGTACAACGCGAGTCAGGCAAGGAAATAACTGTATTCGATCGGTCTCCGGTACACATCTGGAGTTTGAAGGCAATGGGGGAACGGAAAGAAGTGAGCTTACTCCGCCTTCGCGACAACAGCAACAACAACAAGGTTAAAGTAAAACAGGTTCCATTGACATTGTAGTTGAAACATGAGCTACCACTAGTATCAGTGTAAGTGTTCACGCTATCATGGATTTTCAATTCAATAAACATCTCTGTCTAGCATCAGTGTAACTACAAATTGCAATTTCAAATTTGGACTTCACGGAGAATTTCAAAGTTTTAGGAGATTAGAGGCCAGTGTAAAACTGTTAAAACAATTAAATTACTTCAGAAGTATCGTGTCCGTTCCCGAAAGTAACTCACGACGGCCGCTAACACCCACCCGGTAAACCCTGCTGTAACTGTAAGCTCACCTTGAATACCTTGAACGACGCTCTGGGATGGCCAGGCGCCGGAAGTCGCTTGGGTAGCGGGTTGGTTCCGCGTCTCGCTACACCGCGTGTCGTCTCGATACTCTGCCAAGTACCAGCCTGTGGACCACAGTCAGGTACTTGGCAGAGACTGAGTTATGACTGGTGTACGATTCATTAATGCACTAATGCCATTGATGGCAATACTGACACGAAATTTACAACGTTAGATGAATGCAGACAGCGGCAGTACTAAAACTAGGCACATGTAGAAGAACAGCTCGCATATTATGCTTACAATTGAGCTCTCCGCATCTGTGAGTGAAAAAAGGTTCCAAGTGTCGAAGTGATGTCGGTTTTCGGCTAAGACAAAGGCTTCAGGGACAGTGATGTTGGTTTTCTTCAGGTCTTGCTTTATAGTGTCGGTCCATCTGGTTGGTGGATGTCTGCGTGGCGTTTTAACATCTTCGATGTTGAAGGCGATGCCCAAGGCTCGGTATGACGGGGCCTCCGGTCCCGCTCTGACGACGGGTCCAAACCAAAGTAGTCGCTACTGACGGCAGATGTCAAAGTCCAGTACATGTACTCGCGGTACTACTAACAACCAGGAGAAAGCCAGGAAGAGGAAAGGTCAAAAGGGTTACGTCATTGGCGGACAATTACATGTACTTACCGTATACCCCGGTGCGGCTTATACCCCGGAAAATACGGTAGTAGGTCCAAGAGTACATAACCCCCACTGGCCCCAGAGTGTGCAACGCCGATCCAGCTCTGCATAGGGTCTTGGTCGAGCGGAATCGGATCTTCTGATGTCATGCGTACACTCCACACCAGCGCAAGGCCGGTCTCGAGGCAGGGTACCATTGTTTTTGATCCAAGAGCACCCGCGACTCCCCGGGTTCCCCTCAGATGTGTACGGTATTATGACGCAAAGATTCGATCCGCTCGACCAAGACCCTATGCAGAGCTGGATCAGGCGTTGCACACTCTGGGGGGTTATGTACTCTTGGTAGGTCTTATTACATAACCCAATACTAGCACACTACTAGTATTAGATAAACCTTGTTATAGTTCACGCATATTGTTAGTTTGACAGCATGAAACAAGGTGGAGGACACTGTGTTCGGAAACAGTGACCTTACTACAACCATCCACGGTTGGCAGAGCCCCGGTCCGTTGGGACCATCTGAACCATATGCCATATGGGTGTTGAACCCGGTTCTGACCCTCATTATGCTGGGGGAGTTTTAGACTTACCTAACGTCAGTCGTGTACTCCTTGATCGCTCCTGGATGTCGTCCTGATAGTTATGTAGCTACTTAAACCTGACTTATTTTTTTAAATATTTTTGTCTTCCAACTTTTGCCCATGGCGTCCCTCTCTCAGCTCGTCAGCTGTCAACAGTCACTGTCACCACCATGAGACTGTCGTGAGAAGGTGATCTCTGCAGACGAGGTTGGTGATGTCCCGACGCGGCCATGGGTAGGCCTTCACCATTCAAGTTTTTTGACCAGTACTAGTTTGCGTGTTCACGTGACAACTTCAACAACAAACAAGTAATTTCCCAGCGCCAGCGGTACTTGTGGACATAACCAACGCGTAGCCAGTGTGTTCCGACGTGGTGAAGGCCTACCCATGGCCTCTCTTGCCGTCGGACAGGATGCGTATTATAGGTGACTGTAAAGTAATGTAATGTGCTCCACAGGCAACCATTAATTCGGCCGTCAGCAACAGGTAAGCACAAGCACACTATCAAGGCAAGGAAATTTGTGTATGATTGTATTGTATCGTATTGTATGGAATATAATTTTACCTCATTGGCTCAACAGATCAATTTATTACTACAAAAAGGCCGGAAAATCCGATTATATGGAGATAAAAAAGAAGGAGCAAACCAAAATGGATGATTTATTATTATTATTATTATTATGCTCTATTCGCGTTAGCATCAGTGAGCTTATAAAGCTCACATATAGCCTTCGCTTAAGCCGCAAGAAGGAGCAAGTGAGCGCGAGGAAGCGCAATGCACACAGAGCGTCAAAACAAAACAAAAAACAAAAAAACAGAAAAAAAAGAGACAAGCTGCAAGAAGGAGCAAGTGAATGCGAGAAAATGGATGAAGTGGAAGAAAATAACAATCCCCAATAAATTCTGCAATTACTTTTGCCTAACTCATATTCAAACTGATTGAAAAGTTTTTGCAATACAATGATATAGCCAATCAATGGAAAAATCTTTCCATCAGTTCTAATAACATGCATGATGAGCTAGGCAAAAAAAGCATAGCGTAGGGACCTGAGCTTCCAAGCTCTCTCGTTTGACGTCGCACCACAAACAGGCGGTTTGGCCTCCTTTGATACATGTGGCCGACAGGGGGAATGAGAGAGAGAGAAGGGGGGGGGGGGCAGAAATACGGAGAGAGGAAGGGTGGAAAATAAATAAGTGAGTCGACCTCAGGGCTACAGCAAAAAACGGAACGGGAATACTATATACAAAATAGCATCAAACAATCAATATTGCGAAGCACGATTCCTTTTCTTCAGTCCGCTATACCAAAGAAACACCTTAGCCGAAAAGCATTTAAACGCAGCCAAGATACGCTTTCAGCAGGGCACAGAACTGAAGGTGGCTGGGCTCGGAACGGAGGCAAGTCGGGAGCTGGTTCCACACTCCACAGGACTGCACCGATGAACTGTATGGTCGCTCGACCCGCAGGACCCGGCCAAAATGGTACTTGGAAGGTGATGTGCTGCCCCCCCCCCCCCCCCCCCCCCGAGATGCAGGATTTCCTTCAGTCTTCTGAAATAATGTATCATGTGTATTCACGTTGTAGCCTTGCAGGCGTATAGATTTTGGTTTGAAATTTGCCGTGACCCTCCGCTGCCTTGGCAGTGGCGGACGCTCCCTTGCCGACGTAACCGTCGGAGACTATCATGAACAATGGACTGACTAACTATCCACTTGTCCTATCTTTCTAAGGGCCGGTGCGAATTGTCACTCTTGGACCTTTCGAGTAGTTTCGTTTTTCTGAAGAGGTGGCTTATTGGCCTCTGCAGAAAAATGAAACTCATCCAAACTCCACAACCTCATCCGATGGGAGAAGTGGATTAGTTCCGAAGAGTTTGGAATAGCTATGTCGAGATTGTCGATCTGATCTGACGTCATTATTGCCATGACAATTCCACTGAAAAACTCTAGAATGATAGAAACTGTTTCATTGGGACACTTCAACTAATCTCTTCTACAAATTTGTTCGAAAAGTTGATGAAGACGGGGCGAAGGTCTAGTGAGAAGGCATTCTACTGCCTGTAATTCTGGTGAAGTAAAATAAAGTAACAACAACAACAACAACAACAACAACAACAACAACAACAACAACAACAACAACAACAACAACAACAAGACAATTCGAACAACTCCTAAATAACATGAGTTTAGTGCACATGCTCTTGGTTTAGTTTTTGGCTTTTCTTTTGTGCTTTGGAGTTACATGTACTTGTTATGTTTGGAGAGTTGCTTCCTCTCCACCGAAAAAAGACAAGACATCAGCATGACACATGATGTACACATAAACAAAGACAAAGAAAAACAATCCTGAACGGCAACCGAGCGTGTCGCGTTGGCAGATCTCGGTGGTGAGTCTCGCCTCGCCTGCACACGAGGGACATTGCACCATCATCTCACCGTGAACAACATGCTTTCGGAAGTTTCCAGTGGCACCACTATCTTCGCTTTATTTCACTGAGTTGTATAGTCATTTCCGCGTAAGGTATGCGTCGCCTGTATGGTGTGTTCCTCCACCAATCTGCCAACGTGACATGCCCGGTTGCCGTTCAGGATTCACACCGACCTGTCCCGGTCCCTGTTAGCAGGATTTTTTTGTTTTTATTTATGTGTACATCATGTGTACGTCATGTGCACGTCATGTGTACGTCATGCTGATGTCTTGTTTTTTTAGGTGGAGAGGACGCGACTCTCCAAACTAACATTATTAAGTACATTGTACATGTAACTTCAAAACGAACAAATTTGTAAAAGAAAGAAGTTGAAGTGTCCCAATGAAACAGTTTTTATCATTCTAGAGTTTTTCAGTGGAATTGTCATGGCAATAATGACGTCCGATCAGATCAACCATCTCGACGTAGCTATTCCAAACTCTTCGGAACTAATCCACTTCTCCCATCGGATGAGGTTGTGGAGTTTGGATGAGTTTCATTTTTCTGTAGAGGCCAATAAGCCACCTCTTCAGAAAAACGAAACTACTCGAAAGGTCCAAGAGTGACAATTCGAACCGGTCCTTAGAAAGATAGGACAAGTGAATAGTTAGTCAGTCCATTGTTCATGATAGTCTCCGACGGTTACGTCGGCAAGGGAGCGTCCGCCACTGCCAAGGCAGCGGAGGGTGCAAATTTCAAACCAAAATTGTTTACGCGTACAAGGCTACAACCGCGAATGCGCATGATACATGATCTCAGAAGACTGAAGGAAATCCTGTATCTCGGGGGTGGGGGGCAGCACATCACCTTCTCCAAGTACCATTTTGGCCGGGTCCTGCGGGTCGAGCGACCATACAGTTCATCGGCTCAGTCCTGTGGAACCTGCTCCCGCCTTGTCTCCGTTCCGAGCCCAGCCACCTTCAGTTCTGTGCCCTGCTGAAAGCGCATCATGGCTCCGTTTAAATGCTTTTCGGCTAGTGTGTTTCTTTGGTATAGCGGACTGAAGAAAAGGAATCGTGCTTCGCAATATTGATTGTTTGATGCTATTTTGTATATAGTATTCCCGTTCCGTTTTTTTGCTTTAGTGTAGCCCTGTGGTCGACTCACTTATTTATTTTCTACCCTTCCTCTCTCCGTATTTCTGTCCCCCCCCTTCTCTCTCTCTCTCTCATTCCCCCTGTCGGCCACATGTATCAAAGGAGGCGAAAGCGCCTGTTTGTGGTGCGACGTCAAATAAACTTCTACAACAACTACATGTGTGTACAACAACATCAACAACAACAACAACAACAACAACAACAACAACAACAACAACAACAACAACAACAACAACAACAACAACAACAACAACAACAACAACAACAACAACAACAACAACAACAACAACAACAACAACAACAACAACAACAACAACAACAACAACAACAACAACAACAACAACAACAACAACAACAACAACAACAACAACAACATCAACATCAACATCAACATCAACAACAACAACAACAACAACAACAACAACAACAACAACAACAACAACAACAACAACAACAACAACAACAACAACAACAACAACAACAACAACAGCAACAGCAACAGCAACAGCAACAGCAACAGCAACAGCAACAGCAACAGCAACAGCAACAGCAACAGCAACAGCAACAGCAACAGCAACAGCAACAGCAACAGCAACAACAACAACAACAACAACAACAACAACAACAACAACAACAACAACAACAACAACAACAACAACAACAACAACAACAACAACAACAACAACAACAACAACAACAACAACATCATCAACAACAACATCATCAACAACAACATCATCAACAACAACAACAACAACAACAACAACAACAACAACAACAACAACAACAACAACAACAACAACAACAACAACAACAACAACAACAACAACAACAACAACAGCAACAGCAACAGCAACAGCAACAGCAACAGCAACAACAACAACAACAACAACAACAACAACAACAACAACAACAACAACAACAACAACAACAACAACAACAACAACAACAACAACAACAACAACAACAACAACAACAACAACAACAACAACAACAACAACAACAACAACAACAACAACAACAACAACAACAACAACAACAACAACAACAACAACAACAACAACAACAACAACAACAACAACAACAACAACAACAACAACAACAACAACAACAACAACAACAACAACAACAACAACAACAACAACAACAACAACAACAACAACAACAACAACAACAACAACAACAACAACAACAACAACAACAACAACAACAACAACAACAACAACAACAACGACATCTAACGAAGGCCATGACAAGTGAGTAGTACTCGCCCCTCTTCTCAGCCAACAGATGAGCAATGCCCGTCAGCAGGATCGACAGCGGGAGTCCTGGACTCCTGGATGATGCCGATGTCGATGTTGGTTGGTTGGTTTTTATTTCACTTCGCACATTCAAACGGGATGACGACCCAATAAAATGACGGCGAAGGCTTATGGAAGAACATAGTAAGAGCTATGGAAGCACATAGTAAGAGAATAGGATACTAATAACTGCGAGTAAACGGGGGGAGAGAGAGAGAGAATACGATGTATCTGTGATATTACGTGAGGATTACTGAACTGCACGGGGAGGGAGAGCAGAGCGATCAGCAGCAACTCGAACTACTCCCTACAGGCGTATGGTACACATGCATGCTTAAACTCAGGTAGCCGGGTAATTGTGCGGACCTCACCAGGGAGAGCGTTCCACAGCAGAGCACCAGCAACAGAAAATCTCCGCTGACCGCGGCGGCTACGGTTTGCCTGGCTTAGTAGGCCATTTGACTGCTGATGGCGGGTAGGGGTGCCTTGTGCCGGGGTCAGAAGCTGGGTGAGCACAGGGCTGGTGCGGGCGTGGATGCACCGCGATGTGCAACACGAAACTTGTACTCATGAGTGTGGCACTAGCAGGTCTAGTAGCAGCATATACCAAGTATGTATTTAATTTTTAATTAAATTATTAATGTTCTTTGTGGAAAACGCGCACTTGAGCCATTTTTCAACCGTCATGTATTGCCCCACACAGCGGTCGCCGCAACCGCAGTGCCGGATAAGTGACATCTGCCGCCAGCGGCATACTACTGCTTACGCGCTCTGAGGCTCCCACAGTTTCTCGCCAGGAAACCGGCATCAGGCCGGCCTGGTTTCAAACATTAGGTATAGTAGTAGTAGTAGGAAACTAGGTAGACATCGGATAGCTTTGGCCTACCTCCGCCATGCCTCCAGCAAAAGCTGCCGTTCGCGGGCTGACGGATTCGGAGGTAAAATTGTTGTGCTCCCTCCCCGGGATCGAGTCTTCGATTTTAGACGTAGTAAAGACGCTGGCAACATTTGTGACGGAGTCCGCAGACCGCGAGACACGACTAAAGAATAGGATTGATGATTTATCGAGGCAAATTGCAGGCCTGAACGAGGAGGTTGTCGCCCTCAGGGAGTCCGCCATTGTCGCAGCAGGTGCTTCTCCCCTGACTCCTCCAGCAGTTGCCCACAACCAGCACAGCCAGCGTACGATGGAGAGTACAGCGGGAAGAACCAGCAAGCGTACCCGTACTCGCGCAGGCCAGGCTGCCACGTGTACCACTGATGCAGACGAACACCGTAGCACTTCCCGTAGCGTGGGTGACCCTGCCAGTGACCATGAAACGTCAACGGAGGATGAGAACAAGTCCCAGGCAATTGAGCGGCCCACTGTCAAGCCCAAGCCACTGAAGCTAGAGCCAATCACGGATGACACGTGGAAACTGGTATCAAACGAACCTCACAGAGTGAAGAAAGCCGTAATCTATGTGGGCAATTTGAACTCACATAGCAGTGAAGAAAGTGTCAAGGAATTCACTGAGCAACGCTCTGCAGCAGTAAACAAACCGGTGAAGGTTCACCAGTGCAGCATACACACCACAGAAGATGGGAAAGTGTCTGCCCGCTTGATGATCGATGCGACTGACCTTGAAATCGCCACTGCGCCAAACTTTTGGCCTCGCCCACTGTACGCGCGGGTTTGGCGCCACCGTGAGCGTCCGAAGGGGGACACCTTGTCCGGCTCACACAGTGACACTCTCAGTGATGCTCCAAAGGGGGACACCTTGTCCGGCTCACACAGTGACGCTCTCTCCGAGTCCTCCGACACTCAAGCTCAAAGCTCCAATTAGATCCTTTCGGATCCTGCTGACGAACACATTTGGACTACTGAGTAAACTTGGTGACTTTCACCATGCTGTACACGTTCACCAACCTGACATTGCCATTGTCACAGAGAGCAAGCTAACCCCTGAGAAGGCTACTGATTCCGAACTGTCCTTGCCTGGGTACTACTCCCCACTGCGGAAGGATCGAACAGCTCATGGAGGAGGAGTTGCGGTTTGGGTCAAAGCCAGTCTGGCCCTCCGAGAACTCGATGACATCCAGGTCGGTAATGAGGAGCTAATCTGGCTGAGTGTCAGAACTGTGGATAAGAAGTCAGTGGCTGTGTGTGCTGCATATCGCTCTGGCTCCTGCCACGACAATGACATCAGTACCCTTGAAGCCATCAGTGCTGGCATTGACCTGGCCCGTAAATCTTGTCAATATGTGGTATTGGCTGGAGATTTTAACGTACACAACGTGGATTGGCTCGGCAGCACCAAGACAACTCATGCAGGTGTGTACACTGAAGACATGTGTGCTTTTCACTGCTTGGAGCAGCACGTGCATGAGCCCACCAGGGGCCTTAACCCACTCGACTTAATAATGACTGACCTACCGGGAGATGCGACCGTCAATACCTTAGCACCTCTGGGAAACTCTGACCATGCCTGTGTCCTAGCTGACTTTCATGTAAGTACAGCAGAGGAACCACCAGTGACCAGAACTGTCTGGCGTTACCAACGCGCAGACTGGGACAGACTCCGCCACTTCTTTAGAACAACAGATTGGCAGTCCACTGTCAGTGATGATCCTGATGCAATGTGTATGCACTTGACCCAGAATATTCTGGAAGGAATGCGCCGATACATACCGTCTAAGCAGTTGTGCATGAAACCATCTAACCCCTCTTGGTGGACACCGGAATGCACTGAGGCTGTAGCACAGAAACAAAGAGCATGGAGGAGACTCTGCGCCGACCGGTCAAGTGCCCAGCTGCAAGCCCGTTACAATTCCGCCAAGCACTCGGCTAACCATTGCCTGGCAACTGCCAAGCAGGCATTCACAGCAAGCCTGGCGCAGAAGTTAGCCTCTGGGTGTATGGCGTCTGGTGAATGGTGGCGAACCATCAAGAAGGCCTCTGGCCACGGAAACAGCCCATCCATGATACCTACTCTCCGCAGCACCGATGGTACGGAGCACGACACCAACCGCAGCAAAGCAGAGTGCATGGCCGAACACTTCGCCAACAAATGCAGTCTAGGGGCAGACGACCTATCCGCTCCATTTCCTTACGTCCGACCACGTACTGACCGCAACCTCTGCACCGTCCGGTTTCGCGAAACCACAGTCGAGCGAACTCTCCGCCAGCTCAACCCCACCAAGGCCACTGGTCCAGATGGGATACCTGCCCGCGTCTTGAAAGCTTGCGCTGCAGAATTGGCACGGCCGCTTTCAAAACTATTTACATGCTGTCTTCGCTCCGGTATCCAGCCACAACAGTGGAAGGTTGCAAACGTGGTTCCAGTCCACAAGCGCAAGTCTAAATCGTCGCCATCAAACTATCGACCAGTGTCGTTACTGAGCATCCTCTCCAAGGTCATGGAGACCATAGTCAACAGGGCAATGAGCAACTTCATGGAGACAAATCACGTCCTGTCAGAACGGCAATTTGGATTCCGTCGCGGCCACAGTGCAGCAGACCTGCTGACTGCTCTCCACCACCAGTGGGTGCACACCGCCGGAGATAAAGGAGCTTCTCGAGTGCTGGCCATCGACATTGCTGGAGCATTTGACCGGGTGTCTCACACTGGTGTGTTGCACAAGGCTAGAGTGTATGGCATCTCGGGAGACCTGCATCGGTGGCTCCAAGACTACCTCTGCAACCGCACACTTCAAGTCCTCATCTCCGGCCAGACATCAGCCAGACGCCCAGTTAAGGCTGGGGTGCCACAGGGCAGTATCCTGGGGCCCACCTTATTCTTGGTCTACGTCAACGACCTTGAAGACCACCTCCCAATCGGCTCCAACCTTGCCTCATTCGCCGATGACACAACCCTATACGCCGAAATTGCAACGCTCGCTGCTGTTCCTGACAACGCTAGAGTACTCCAGGCTGCTGTCGACCTAGTATCCAGTTGGGGCTCGGATTGGAAAGTGCAGTTCGAGCCAGCCAAATCTCAGGCCCTTACAATTTCCCATCGTCGGGACTGGCCAATACCCCCCATTGTCTTCAATGGAACTCCTGTCGAGGAGCAGCCCTCCATCAAAGTACTCGGCGTCACGTTTGACCATCAGCTAAAATTCAGCCAGCATATCCGAACTGTTGTAGTCCGAGCAACGCAGAGACTTGGAGCCTTGCGCAAGGCATTTCACTTGCTGACTATTCCTGCCCGGCTTCGAGCCTACAAAGCCTTTGTCCGGCCGGTTATGGAGTACTGCCCAATCGTCTGGATGGGGGCAGCTCCTTCCCACTTGAATCGGCTGGACTGGGTGCAGGAGCGAGCCATCAAGGCAATACATCCGCAATGCTGGCTTCCTAGCCTCATAATTCGCCGCACCATCGCTGCCCTCTGCCTCCTGTATAAAGCCCTTTGCGATAATTCTCCCGCTCTTCTCTCGAGAATGGCTCCACCCCCGACACACCAACCCAGGACCACACGCCTCACCCGCCAGGCTGTACGACTGTCCACCGCGCATCCCCATCAGTTACAGAATGTTCTTCCTGCCAATTCCCGGAACAATGTGAGCCGAGCCTTTCCCCACTCCGTCATCCCAATTTGGAACCAGCTGCCTACCTCTATCATTC